GGTGATGACACGGCCCCTGATCGGCATCTTGATGCATTGATGGTAAGGAGAAGGGACGGCTCGCATGGCGTTCAGCCATGGTGTTCCAAGGATGGCATTATAGATCGCAGGTCGGTCAATAACCTCGAATTTGACCGTAATTGACTTCCCGCGTATGGTGACAGGCATCGTTATAGTTCCTATTGTCGAAATCGAGTCTCCAGCGAATCCTGTGAGTGGTTATGGTGCGACTTTGATGTCCCGCTCGGGGATACTCATCTTGCGTAGAGTATCCATGAAGATGAGATCGACCGAACTTCCAGTGTCGATCAACACTTTGGAGATGTCGTCCTCTCCGAGTTGTAGTGAGATGACAAGTGGATCGTTATGAGGTCGGTCTATGTCATGCGTGTTCTGCTCTGTGAATGTGATCGGTAGGTCGTCCTTGAACAATGGTGGTGCGTCCTTCGGGGGATTGGTTGCCTTCCGTTCGTGCCGTTTAATTGAATTTATCGAGTCGGTGCACGATAGGAGACCTCCCATGATCATGTTGATCCGCTGACGTGGTGAGCTTGGAGGTGTATGATCGTCTTCACGGTCACGCTTTGCTTCCTTGCCCTCGCGTTTAGAAGAGCGATCGGTGTTATCTCTTCTATCGCGATCGTCATCGGGTCGCCTGTCCTCTTCGTCGGATCATAGTGAACTCCGGGGTTCTGGAAGGGTGATCTCGCCATCATCCCACCTCTTCCTCAAGAGGGCTGGGAGGGTGCGGCAATCATCGTTATGATGACCGTGCGCCCTATGGTATTTGCACCACGGCTTTTTGCTGTCGGGGTTTCTGTCGCTCGAGCGGTCCCACACGTTCCATGGCTTTTTTGGTCGTCCAACTGTGTTGATGCTCTTGCGATTCTTGTCATCCTTGTCGTAGTGCTGACGGGGCTCTTTGTAATATTCTTGACTCGACGATCTGCCTTTCTTATCGTGCGAAGATTTCTCATCGGCCAACTTGGCTGCCCGATCCTCTTCGACTCTGATGTACTCGGATGTCTTGTGCAAAGCATCCTCGAGGGTTTTGGTTTTTCCTGTCTTTAATCGTTCACAAAACGATGAATCATCCTTCAAATTCTTGATAAGAATGTTGAAACACAGTTCGTCTGACAGACTGCACTGGGAGACGATTGATCGGAATCGATCAATAAAATCGCGCAGCGGTTCTGTGTCGCCCTGGACGCATGCCCATAGATCGAGCGCTGTGGACTCCGTGTCGATGTAAATCGAATAATGCTTCAGGAACCGAGCTGTGAGCTCCTTGAAGCTGTCGATGGAGTTTTTGGGAAGCTGTGAGAACCAGGTGAGGGTGCTTCCGGAGAGCGTCTCCACAAAGTATTGACAGAGGCATGCTTCCCGTTCCTCATCGGTGAAGCGAGCACGTCCCATGACTGCGTTGAACGCGGTCAGGTGTCGCTTCGGGTCTGTCGTGCCGGAGTAACTCGGAGGTAGCTTCATCCGACCTATGTCCTTAAGAGGAGCATTGGTGATAGCCGACGTGAACGGGGTTTGCTGTGTTTCCTGAAGGATCTTATCCAACTCAGGCGCTGAGGTCGTCGCCTTGTGGATCTTGCTGTGGATATCATCAAGGCATTGGTGGAGAAGATCGAGTTTCGAGGTTGTCGTCGGATCGGTTCCTGCGATATTGTGAGATGAGCGGGCATGCGAGCCGTCTGCCTGTGCTCTCCATAAGTCGTCTGTCGGTGTCGTGCTGAACAGGTTGTTGACCAGCCTGGTCGTATCTGTGTTGCGGATCAAAGGGCGAGGGGGAGTGATAAGATCGGCCTGCTCTTGGGTATGAACCCTAGAGTTTATAAGCCGATCCAAGTCTTCTCTGTAAGCTATCTGCTCGGCACGGAGGGACTCGAATCGAGCATCCATCCCCTGTTGCAACTGTGCTGCAACCGACCTGATGATCGTGGCCATGTCGACGGGAGGTGGCTGTGGCAGGCTGGTCGTGTTTGTGCCACCCGTCTGACCGACCTGGTCTGTTCCCCCTGTGTTCTGTGCGGTAGTTGTGTTGTCTTCCTGATCGGTCTGGTGGGCCACCGGAAGCCTTGTGGCTAGGTCGATGATCGGATCCTGAATGTTTCTTGTCGGATCGGAGGCTCCTGTGAGGTTGGTAGTGTTGATCGGTGTTTGAACCATCTTCAAACTCTGTTCTAAGTCAAAGATTACTCTTTTATTCCCCTCAGACGGCGCCAACTGTAAAAACTCAAGTTCGATCTACGAAAGAACTAGGGTTTGTGGGTTTAAAGAGGTCTTTTATTAGAAGAAGCCGGAGCTTGAATGAATACACGAGGGTTTAGGTCGTCGGAATAAGAACGCCGACCTAAACTTTTATGGAAAGTAAATCGAAAGCTAGAACAATCAGATTGCTTAGTTTGCCCTAGGTCTCGATAGATGATTTTTGGATGGATTGAGGAGTCGAGGACCTCCTATATTTATAGCCGATCAGGTCGGTCTTCAATCTGCTTGGAATAGGAAACTCTTGTCGGCAAGGAGTTTCTTTTTTCCCCGGGTCGCTCGGTAAATGGAAGATTTCTTTTATGTTGCCGACCTGGAACTTGTTAGACGGGCCGACCAGAGTTCGTATCGGGCTTGTTAGAGACGTTACGGATCTCATCTCTAACAGTTATATTCTTAATTATGGGGTGAATTATGATTATTCAATAAAAACAACTTTGTGAAAGAGAAATTGTATTAGATAATCATATTTTGAATGGTTATTGGTTTTTTAGCCATATGAAATGATGGCTACAATATTTTGGATAAATTATGTTTTAATACCAAAATAACCCCTAGTTTAATTAAAACAATTCTTTCTTTCTCTATACCTTTATCGTCTTCTCTGCCTTTTTTTCTCTCCGCTTCTCTACCTCTTCTTTTCTTCTCTTAGATCGATCTCATCATCATCATCATCACCACCACCATAATTGCTTTTCCTCAGCTGCCCCTTCCAAGTGTTCTCTACTTACCCACGGCTCCTCTCCTTTTTCCTATTCTCCATTATCATCCTGATTTCTCTAGCTCAAAGCCTATCTCTTCTGATCTCTCTGCCGCTTCCTTCTCTCTTGCTTTCTCCTCCCTCTCTCTGGTCTGGTTTGGATCTGTCAGCGAGATATGCTTTAATCCCAACTTCATTCTGAAGATAACCTCAATTTCTAATTTTGCGGTTATTTGTTTCCAGTTTCTCTTATGTTGATTTAAAATTGGAGTTTTTATTTGTACTTTCCTGGAATTTTTATACGAAGTTATGGAGAATTTAGGATGTTGCTTCACTGATCATCGTCCGTTCCAATAGCGCATATCTCATAACTGATTTTAGTTTTGGAATTTGTGTTTTTGATTGTAGTAGATTTTGATTTATGTTGAATGTTTACTATACTATTTTGGATTTCTTTCAATGCTTTAGTGGTTTGTTTCTTTTCTTCTTTATTATTGTTAATTAATTATGTGCAGATCTGAAGTTTTGGTAATTTTGGATGTTTGTTACAATAGAAAATTTTGGGTTTTGATGGCTTGGTGTGTTATCTTTTCTATATAGTGTTATACTATATTTCATATTGGCTACTATACTATATAATAAGAGAATTTTCGCTATGGTTCCTTACTCCCATGTGTGTCTTTGGTTTCACATAGTGGAGATGGAGAGAGGACAACTTGATGGATAACCGTAAGAGTAAGCGTGAGGAGATTGATGAAGAAGAGTCTTGATGCTGGCCAGATATTGAGTGGTAATGACTTCCTTTATTAATTATGAAACCATATAGTGTTATACTATTTTCATAATTTGCGATTATACTATGTAATTTATGTGATTAATGTAATGGTGGTTTACTTTGTAGTTTACTTTAGACTTAAAAACATCTTTGACAAATAATTCATAGCAAGTAATTTATAACTTTAATATTTGCCAAAATAGCAACAAAGGCCAATCCAAGTTCTATGTTATTATATGGAAATTACAACAATACTATTTAAATTAGATAGTATAAATTATTATAGAATACATAACAAAAACCATAACGCGAGAATTAATTTTAATTGATTTTAGTTGTTCTATATAAATAATATTTTTGGTTTAAATTCAGAGTTGGAATTTAGAGTTTAGGAGTTTGGGTATAGTAAGTAGTGGCTTGGATTTAGTTTTAAAATATTTGGTCTTAATTCAAAGTTATAAAGGATTATAGTTTACGAGGAGTATATATACAGAGTTTTGGTATATGTAGGAGGTTTGGGTATAGTAAGTAGTGGCTTGAGTTTAGATTTAAAATATTTGGGTCCATTTCAAAATTTATAACAGATTTAGTTTGGATATATTAAGTAGTAGCTTGGATATATTAAGTAGTAGCTTGGATTTAGTTTGATTTAGAAGAATTTATTGGTTCGATTACATTTCTATATAAACTACATAATATAGAATTTTCTTTTTCTGTTAAATACATAGTATACAATACTAAATCCAACTTCATAGATTGTATTTTGTATAAAAAAAATTCTTTTATACTATATTACTTATTATAATTAGAATAGTTTGCTAATAAACCAGTCTAAACAGTATACGAGAAGACAAATATTTGTGATTGTATGGATCCACTATAGTTGTCAAAAAATTATTGTCAAAAAAGATAATTTAATAAATAATTATAAGAGGCATTTTCTACCAAAAAGGAATGATTACTTTCTTTGTTTCATTTTTCATATCGTTATATTCTTAATTATGGGGTGAATTATGATTATTCATTAAAAACAACCTTGTGAAAGAGAAATTGTATTAGATAATCATATTTTGATTGGTTATTGGTGTTTAAACCATATGAAATGATGGCTATGATATTTTGCATGTATTATGTATTAATACCAACATAACTCCTAGTTAAATTAAAACAATTCTTTCTCTCTCTGGACCTTCATCGTCTTTTCTGCCTTCGTTTCTCGCCACTTCTCTACCTCTTCTTTTCTTCTATTAGATCGATCTCACCATCATCATCACCGCCACTGTGATTGCTTTTCCTCAGCTGCCCCTTCCAAGTGTCCTCTCCTTACCCACGACTCTTCTCCTTTTTCCTCTTCTCCATTATCTTCCTGATTTCTCTGGCTTAAAGCCTATCTTTTCTGATCTCTCCGCTGCTTCCTTCTCTCTTGCTTTCTTCTCCGTCTCTCTGGTCCGGTTTGGATCTGTCAGCGAGATCTGCTTTAATCCCAACTTCAATCTGAAGGTAACCTCAATTTCTTATTTCGCGATAATTTATTTCCAGTTTCTCTTATGTTGATTTAGAATTGGAGTTTTGTTTGTATTTTCCTGGAATTTTTGTACCAATATATGGAGAATTTAGGATGTTGCTTCACTGATCATCGTCCATTCCAATAGTGCCAAATCTCATAATTGATTTTAGTTTTGGAATTGGAGTTTTTCTTTGTACTATATTTTTGATTTGTGTTGAATGTTTACTATACTATTTTGGATTTCCTTCAATGCTTTAGTGGTTTGTTTCTTTTTCTCTTTATTATTGTTAATTAATTATGTGAAGATCTGGATTTTTGTTGATTTTGGATGTTTGTTACAATATAATTTTTTTGATCTTGATGGCTTGGTGTGTTATCTTTTCTATATAGTGTTATACTATATTTCATATTGACTACTATACTATATAATTAGATAATTTCTGCTATGGTGCCTAACTCCCATGTGTGTCTTTGGTTTCAGGTAGTGATGATGGAGAGAGGACAACATGATGGATATCCGTAAGAGTAAGCGCAAGGAGATTGATGAAGAAGAGTCGTGATGCTGGCCAGATGTTGAGTGGCAATGACTTACTTTGTTAATCATGAAACCATATAATGTTATAGTATTTTTCATGATTTGTGATTATACTATGTAATTTATGTGATTAATGTAATGGTAGTTTACTCTGTAGTTTACTTTAGACTTAAAAACATCTTTGAAAAATAATTTATAGCAAGTAATTTATAGCTTTAATATTTGCCAAAATAGCAACAAAGGCCAATCCAAGTTCTATGTTATTATATATGAATTACAAAATACTATTTAAATTAGATAGTATAAAATATGATAGAATACATAATAAAAACCATAATGCAAGAATTGATTTCAAATGATTTTAGTTGTTCTATATAAATAATATTTTTGGTTTCACTTTATTCTGAGAAGAAAAAAAAACTTCAGCGTTGTTTTTGTATTTTTTCGAGAAAAGAGAATATAGTAAAGATAGAAAAAAAAAGAAAAAAGTAACATATGGCCTTGCTATATTAGATAAGATTTGTTTGAGTGATTTGATTTGTTGGATAAAAAAGAATAATTTGGAGAAAAAGAAACAAAAAACTTAAGTTTTTTATTGTGTTTGTTTGATGAAAGATAACTAAATATTATTAATTAAAAAATGACAGATGTCAACTTTTTAGATACCACGTGGCAGCATATCAGAGCTGCTTTTGAAAAAAAACTTACTTTATTTTGGGAACAAAAAAACCTTAAGCGTTATTTTTGTGTTTGTTCGATAAAAGAGAATATAGTAAAGATTGAAAAAAAGAGAGAAAAAATAACATATGACATTTTCTTAGATGCCACATAAGAGTATATCAGAGCTGCTTCTAAAAAAATATCACTTTATTTTGAGAAGAAAAAAAAACTTAAGTGTTGTTTTTGAGTTTGTTCGATACAAAAAATATATTAAAGATAGAAAAAAAGAAAAAAGTAACATATGACCTTGCTATATTATATAAGATTTGTTTGATTTGTTGGATAAAAGAGAATAATTTGAAGAAAAAGAAACAAAAAACTTAAGTTTTTTTTGTGTGTTTGTTTGATGAAAGATAACTAAATATTATTAATTAAAAAATGACAGATGTCAACTTTTTAGATGCCACGTGGCAGCATATCAGAGCTGTTTTTGAAAAAGAAACTTACTTTATTTTGGGAACAAAAAAAACTTAAGCGTTATTTTTGTGTTTGTTTGATAAAAGAGAATATAGTAAAGATAGAAATAAAAAGAGAAAGAGTAATATATGACCTTTTCTTAGATGCCACATAAGAGTATATCAGAGGTGCTTCTAAAAAAAATATCACTTTATTCTGAGAAGAAAAAAAAATTTAAGCATTGTTTTTGTGTTTGTTCGATAAAAGAGAATATAGTAAAGATAAAAAAAAAAGATAAAAAAGTAACATATGACCTTGCTATATTATATTAGATTTGTTTGAGTGATTTGATTTGTTGGATAAAAGAGAATAATTTGGAGAAAAAGAAACAAAAAACTTAAGTTTTTTTGTGTGTTTGTTTGATGAAAGATAACTAAATATTATTAATTAAAAAATGACAGATGTCAACTTTTTAGATGCCACGTGGCAGCATATCAGAGCTGATTCTGAAAAAACTTTACTTTATTAGAATATATTTTATTTAAGACAAAGTTATTCAGTTACAGTAAATTACTTTTAAATTATACTTTTAAACTAATCCCTGTAATTTAAGATAATCATCTTGATATAATTTCATGACAATTTGTTTCATGTAGATATTGATGAGTGTAAAACTCTCAAACATCGATGTATTGGCGGCGAAACTTGTCTAAATACTGGAGGATGCCATCAATGCGTAGTGAAGAAGTAACAAAAACTTATCTAAATACTGGAGGAGTCCATCAATATTACTTTGTATCCAAGTTTGTTCTACTATCTTTTAAGGTTTTCATAATATTTGAAATATGTAGTGATATGATCTTCCCTTGGTGTTTGGATGATTTGCAGGGGTTAGCGTAGGTGTAAGCCTCTTGCTTGTACGTGTAGACATCTGGCTTTACAAATACATCAAGAAGCATAGAAGATGAAGCTCAGACATAAGTTCTTCAAATGATGTTTTTTTGTTACAGCAACAACTGACTTTAAGGGATGGCTGTGAATAGAAGGCAATAGTATTCAGCTCCAAATAACTAGAGTAGGCTACTAATCCAAAAATATTTTTGTTAAACGAATAGTCTCAAAATATTACAGTAAACCCTCAAACATCGATTGATTACTCGAACGATCCTAAAAACATATATAAAACAAAGCAATGGTCGAAACAAAGAATCACAGAACAAAACAAATAATGTCAATTGATTGGATAAAGAACAAAGGCATACCAAGAGTACATATTCTGTAAGAGAGTCCCTACAAGTCAAGTACTTTCAAACCGAAGAAACAAAAGGGGTTCTTCCCAATTTTTTCGGTTTTCAATTTCAATTCTTTACAATCAAACCCGCATCCACACTGCAGCGACTCGTAAAACTCTTCGAAGTTTGCTGATGTGATCCGGATGGAGAATTCGAGTTCTTAAGTTTCTCATCCTCTTCTCCGGTTTATGTTTTCTTCATGATTGTTCTATTTCTTTGTAGCTGAGATTAATGTGTGTGATTCTGCCTATATAATATCCATAAATATTCTGTGGCACATAAGCTCTTATGTTTATCTAAAATATGTATATTGTCACTTTATGGTTATTAATTTTTTTGAAAATGCATTTATTGTACAAATCAGTCAATTTTATCTTGAAATCTTGTTGATTTTACGTTTGACTGCTGTTTGATCTGATCGGACAACTTTTCTTGTAGATTTCAAAAAGTAACATCTGTTGGTAGCCTTGTATTGCGCATTTAATTAGTCATTCTTTAGAACAATTAGTCGACATTTGCTGGGAAATTGCCATTATCAAGCAGTTTGAGGCTAATTTGAAGATGAGAGCTGTGATGGATATAGATCAGTTCGTCAATGCTGTGCAAGTTTACAGCCGTTCTGAATATGAAGATATGAACTGGGAATATATGTTTCATATCATTACAAACAATCGAAATCAAAAACTCAAATGGATGTTTAATACGTTGATATAACCATTGACTAAAAAAAAAAAAAAAAAAAAAAAACTAAGAGCAATGAGGGAAACTGGCTTACCCACAACAGAGAAATTGACTTACCTACTCGCTTCGTTTCATGTAGATATTGATAAGTGTAAAACTCTCAAACATCGATGTATTGGCAGTGAATGTTGTCTAAATACTCGAAGTTTGATGAGTGAAGAAGAACAAAACCTTCATGATATATATATGTTATTTCTGCTACTTTATATCCAAGTTTGTTCTATTATTTTTAAGGTTTTCATAATATTTGAAATTGGAGTGATATGATCTTCCCTTGTGTTTGGCTGATTTGGCTGATTTGTAGGTGTAAGAGCATTTTTATTTATTAGACCCCTTTTGAGAGTTTTCAAATAAAAAAAATACTATTATTTTAATATAATTTAGTTACTTGATTAAATTTTAGTTTTATAAAAAAAATTAATTAATAAAAATAAGACATGTGGAAGAAAAAGAGTTCTCAAAGTATTAAAGAGTTCTCAAATAACATATCTAATACATTTTATTTTCTTATACTTTTTAATTTTATTATTATTTTTTAGTTGCATTACTATGTAAAAGCTCATTGATGGAGGTGCTCTAAACCTCTAGCTCGTAGGTGTAGGCATCTGGCTTTACAAATACATCAGAAAGCATAGAAAAATAAAGCTCATGCATAAATTCTTCAAGCCTAATGGTCGTCTTTTGTTACAGCAACAACTGAATTTAAGGGAGGGTTCTGAATAGAAGACAATAATAGTATTCAGCTCCAAAGAACTAGAGAAAGCTACTAGTCCAAAAATATTTTTGTTAAACGAACTGTCGCATACTTTGGTCTGTTTAATGTGGATCCAAGTATGTAGGGTAGCAACGAAATCAAAGTATCTCACTTCATTGAACATCATATGATTCACGTTGCCTACGACACCTCTCAATAAAAAGATAACATCAATGTATGAAAATTATTTTTTTGGGTACCTTTTTTCAAAATAATACTTTTTAAATGTTACTTTTATCCATTTATATACACTCAATTGTTGTTCTTATCCAGCAAATTGACTCATAACTAAGATATGAAATTTAAAAGACATTTAACCGTCTCTTTTTTCAACATAATTCATAAATTAAATCAAATTATATCGGTTTGATTTGGTTCATTCTGACTAACATGGGAAAACCAATAATTTTTGTGCCCGTGTCTCTTTAGCAAAAGCATCGGCAATAAAAATATTTTGTACAGGACAGATAAAATATGATCTAAGCTAAACACTTCGATATCTAAACACAAAAAATCCAAGTAGTCAAGCTTTGAAATACAAGCAGATCAATCTATTGATTTTTCAACCATTTTAATCAAATCTAATCCGTCTCAAACCTAGCAGCAACAATAATGTAGAAGACAAAAGTCAAAGTTTTCAGCTTGTGGTGAGCAAGTTCTTACAAAGAATTCTTAATTAAATAAACAGTTATAGTATACGATATAAAGGTTTCAGCTTTAATACGGTCAGCTTCTCTCACATCCCCAAACAAAACCAAAAAGACGATAACTAAAACCAAAAAGACGATAACTGCAAATGTCGCTTTTACCCTTCTTCATCTCCACCGAGATGTTTCCATGGCTTCTTCTGATTTTACTTCCTCCACTTCTTATCTTATTCACAACATTTCTTCGCTCGCCGAAAAATCTTCCGCCATGTCCACCAAAGCTACCTATTTTAGGAAACATCCACCAGATCGGAAGCCTCCCTCACCGCAACCTCAGAGATCTCTCGCTCAAATACGGCCCCGTCATCACCGTCTATCTCGGAAGCGTCCGCACGGTGGTTGTACACTCTCCGGAGACGGCGGAGGAAGTTTTGAAAGTTAATGACTCCAGTTGCTGCACTCGCCCCAGATTATCCATCACCAAGAGCTTTTTCTACGACGGACTCGGTCTAGGTTTTACTCAGTGGGGCGATTACTATAGAGATGTTCGGAAACTCTGCGTTCTCGAGCTTTTCTCTGTTAAACGAGCCAACTCGTTTCGGAATCTGAGAGAAGAGGAGCTGAGTCGACTCGTTGACTCGCTATCCGAGTCGGCTGGTTCTGGATCTCCTGTGGATCTGAGCGCGAAGCTGATCAAGTTCGTCGCGAGCTTCACTTGCCGAATGGCGTTTGGATTGAGTTTCCTCGGGAGTGGAATCGACAACGAGAGGTTTCTGGAGGTGTTCACGGAGGCGAACAGGGTGATCGGAAAATTCGCGGCGGAGGATATTTTCCCTGTGTTTGGGTGGATCGTTGATCGGATCTCCGGGCTCGAATCTAGCCGGAGGAAGAGCTTTCGTGATCTCGACGCGTTTTATCAGAAAGCCATTGTTGATCATCGGGAAAAGAAGAAGACGGAAGAAGAACGTGAAGATCTCATCGACGTCTTGCTCAAGCTACAGAGTCAGGAAACTAAACTCGGTTCCACTCGGATCACTGATAAACACATCAGAGCCATTCTTATGGTAAGTTTCAAAATTCAATTCCGACATAAACCATGTCAATTTTCCCACTCGGTAATCCGGTTTAGTGTTTGGTTTGGATTCGGTAATTTGTTTAGTCTTCGGTTTCATAAAATGCAGGTTCAGTTTTGTTTTCGGTCCGATTTCGATTTGGTTTTGGAGAAACAAAAATCTCAAAATTAAAGGAAATAACGATTTATTTAATGTTATAATTATTTACTATTTGTAATACATATTTAAATTCTAATGAAATTCGTTTATTCGGTTTGATATGGTTCGGTTACTTTTGGTTTCGGTTTTTTTAATTTTACATGCCAATTTTCCTTGGATTGGTTTCTTGCGGGATTGAAATGATTTTTGTATTTTGGTTCAGTGTCATTATGATGTAAAATTGGATTTTTTTTCTTCTTTTTGTTAAACTCACAAACAAATAAAATTGGATTGAGAATACAAAAAAACCAGCTTATACAAGATTAAAGTTGAATGTGAAGAATCAAGACCATGAAAACATTTGTTTTGTTTTGTTTTGTTTTTTTCATTTTCAGGATGTGTTTGTAGCAGGCGTAGACACATCTGCAATAAGTATGGATTGGGCAATGGCAGAGATTGCAAGACATCCAAGAGTGATGAAGAAAGTACAAACCGAGATCCGTGAACACGTTGGAGACAAAGGCAAAGTAACGTACGAGGATCTCGAAGGTTTAGAGTACATGAAAATGGTGATCAAGGAGACTTGGAGGCTACATGCACCCAGTCCGATTCTTATTCCAAGAGAGGCAATGTCCAAATTCAAGATCAAGGGTTATGACATCTACCCTGGAACTCGGATTCACGTTAATACATGGGCCATTGGACGAAACTCTGATGTGTGGAAAGATCCTGATGAGTTTATCCCCGAGAGATTTGTGGATAGCAATGTGGAGACGAAAGGGATTAGTTTTGAGCTCTTGCCGTTTGGGAGCGGACGAAGAGGTTGTCCGGCGATGTACGTGGGGTTAAGTACGGTGGAGTATACATTGGCGAATCTTTTGTACCATTTTGATTGGAAAGTGGTGGAGGACGTGAGCATTGAAGAGGCTCCTGGTCTTACTAGCCATAGAAAGCATGCTCTTTATCTTGTGCCTGTTAATGTCATTAACCGTAAGTTTTAAAGAGTTTGGGAAACGCAAACGCAGTTTGCAAAGAATAAAGAAAGTGTGTTTTGGTTTGATTTTTGTAAGAAAAATCTATACTTTTTGAGTTTTCTAATTCATAAATTGCAATATACTTACTCATTTTTTTATTAGCTATTTGGATATTTTTCATAAAGTAGCTTTGATTTTAGAAATTGGGCCCATCAAAATTACACATAACTACAAACATGTTGTCTATTCATATGTTGAAAAATATGGGCATAAGAAATAAAACTTTTTTTTTTACAACATCGCATCTCATATATTATTAATTCTGTTCAAGTAGGTTATTTGTAGTTAACCAAACAAGAACCAAAGTATCTACATAAGAAAAATTAAAATTTCGAAGGTGTGCACCTTTTGCTAAGACATCTGTTCGGACAATAAAGATATAAAGTAAAAACGCAATTGAAAACTCTGAAAAGCATGAACTTTAGAATTTATACTCCGTAACATATGCATCGAGAGTTATCCACTCATCTTTATCATCAATGATCTTGATCAACTGAAGACCATCTGTGAATCCCTGGTTTGAGTAACTAGCGCATGGCCCCTAGGATTGTATCCATCTCCGCATGTAGCACCTTGTGCTGTCCAAGCTCTCATCCGATAAAGACTATTGTTATTGTTTTGTAGGAAGACAAATCACCCTCCAAATAGATTGTCCTTGCATATCCACGAGGCATCCACTTAGCAAATGAATTCTCTACTTGAGAAGTCCACCTCACCCAACTCCAAAAATGCATGCGTGCACGCACACAACTTCCACGACATTTGCCATTTTTCAAGATTCTGATTCACTTGTAGCCATCTCCACAGTTTCTAGCAGATTAATCTCTTTAGCATTAAAGACCTTCTTATTCTGACCTTCCGTAGGAATGATGATGGTATCCAGTATTCCGTAGCTCGTCCTAATAGGTAATCAATATTTGTAAAAATACCATCTCACGGAAACAGTTCTGGAATCGGAACAATTAGAGATAAAACCACGCTTAGATCGGAGAGAGGAATTGAAAGAATACATGGTTTATTGATTCCTCTTCTCCACCACATCGTGGGCACTCTCATAAGAAATAAAATCTAAAGATTCGAGATTTCCAGACAGCATTTGCAGGACACAACGAAAAAGGAACCCTTTATTCAACATCTAATAACTTTACTGTTCAGAACAAAGTAAAAAAGACGCTTTACCAAGATCAATACTCCCTGACACAGCTATCAATGAGAACTTCTTGTCTAAGGATGTAGATGAAGGTTTAGAGCTTGTGAAAAATTTAGCCCAAAGTGATGCGAACTACAATGAAAAGTTTGATAGAACTCGAAGAGGTAAACAAGAAACTACAAAGAAGGAGCTAGAGTCAACAAGGAGAGAGCTTAAGGAGCTGAAATCTAGGCTAGACAAGTTGCAACACAAAGAGGTCAACTTTGTTGGTGAAATGATTGAGATGCCAAGTGAACATGAGTTCCAAGTTGAGAAAATAAATTATGTGGGAAATCAAGGAGGCTAGAACAACTATGACAACTATAGGCCAAATCCAAATCTGTCATATAAAAGTAACAATGTGGCTAGCCCACAAGACCAAGTGTACCCTCCACAACAAGCTCAAGAGAACCAACAAAGAAACTTTGTGCCATTCAACAAAGTCTTTTCTCCCAAAAACAACTTTCAACGGAACATTCAGCCTAAGCAACAATTTTCTCCTCCTGGTTTTGCATAAGGTCAAGCTAGCTCCTCTAACTCCAATGAAGCTGAGACGAAAGACATGCTTCAACAAATTTTACAAGGGCAGCTCACCACAAACTTGGAGATCAACAAGAAATTTGTGGAGGTTTACAACATGATTGATTCTTTCCATGATTAAATCTCAACTAAGATTGATGGTTTGACTTCAAGAGTGAAGAAATTAGAGGTCAACAAGGGCATTGCTGGACCAAGAACCCAATGAATCCTTCCTGGAAAATCAGAAGCTCACCCAAAGGGGTTTTGCAATGCTATAGCCTCCAAGGAATAAACTCTCATGGCTGAAGAAGAGACTATCATAGAAGACTTCCTTTCTTTCATCAATAAGGACATTGAACTTCAGAGTGGGGGAGAGGAGTCTCTAGTAGCTGACCACCCAAGAGGACACTAAGGAGAAGTCTCTTGAAGCTGAAAGCACCAAGGAAGAAAATAAGTTGGCGCTACTTGAAACTGTTGAAGCCAAGAAGGAAGAAAAAGCCTATGTTCTTCCACCTTACAACCTTTCTCTCCCTAATCCTGGAAGGTTTAAGAAGGAGCTCATTGAGAAATACACTAATCTCTATGAAGCTCTGTTGAAGAAGATCAATGGAGAAAAGGTTGAGCTGCCTAAGTTGTCAAAAGTTGAGAAGCTCAACATCACCAAGCTAGGTGATCCAGGTTGCTTCACTCTTCCTTGTAAGCTGAAGGGAAAAACTTTCAAAAGCTGCCTTTGTGATCTTGGAGCAAGCAGAAATCTGCTCCCATCCTCTACAGCCAAAGCCTTGGGCTATACTACTTTCCAAGAGAGCAATGTGTATCTCACCATAGCTGATGGTTCTGTCAAAACACCCCTTGGAGCCTTGAAGGATGTCCCTATGATGATTGAGGGTGTGGTGATACCAACAGATTTTCTGGTGTTGGATGTAGAAGAAAAGATCGAGAACTTCATAATATTGGGAAGGCCTTTCTTGGCAACTGCAGAAGTTATCTTTGATGCTAAGGAGTGCACCATTGAGCTCAGAATGACCAAGAACGAGGTGCTGAGATTTGATTCTAAAGGCAACAAGCTGGAGAGTGAGAAAGCTTTCTCCATGGAAGTAAAGAAGCTAAAAGTAACTGCTGAGAATTGGCTTTCATTTGATGGATATGATGGCGAAAGCTTTGATAGATGCAGTCTATCTAAGCTGCTTGGTGAAACCACTAAAGAGGAAGTCCTTGAAGTGGGATGTTTGAAGTTTGGCAATGAAATTCTGCTTGGTTTTATTAAAGATCGGGTGATCTTGAAGCCATTTGGTTCTATGTTTGGTGAAGTATCCTACAAGATGAAGCATGAAGGCATGTATAAGCCTTTTGCTCTGCTCAAGATAGACAGGGTCACAAAGAGAGTCAAAGGAGCATGCAAGATTCCACCAAGGAGTTCCCTAACTCCTTATCCTTCCCCCAACTAAGGAGCCAAGGAAAGTCAAGCTAAGTGACTCTAAAAAAGCGCACTTGGAAAGCAATCCCCTGATATCCTTGTATATATTAATGCTTTCTAATGTTTTTTATGTTTATTTGAGTGTTTTTTATTGTCCCTAGTAACCAGGTTTGAGCTGAGAAAGATGGTGCTAGGCTTGGGAGAAGGAAGGAGGCACATAAGGTCAATATCACCAGAATATTGGCCAGCACAAGCAGATACAGCTCATATCAGACAGTGTATCAGGAAGTTCTTACTCGGTATCGGTGTTTTGAGCTTGTATCGACATGTGTACCGGGGCAATCCTGGTCGATACAAATGAGAGGATGCTGTATCAACCAGTGTACCGAGGTAAGGCAAACCGATATGCCTTAATTGGCAATATATCAGGTGGGGATGAGACCGATATGCCATAACTGCCATTCATACTGAGCAGTATAAAAATGTTAATTATGTTTCAGTGGGCAGAGCTGATCTCCCTCATTGAGTAATTCATTACTCACCCCCTTTTCCCTTTTCAGGTTTGTTAAGATTAGGGCTCAAGACCAATGGCTCAATGGGTTACATTTTTCAAAAGATAGTTTTCAATAGGCACTAGATGTCTCGGCGAAGTTAGCTCAGTCGAGGCATCACACTACGTAAAGTTTGCTTACTAATATTCTATAATTATGTGATTGTTTAAGACATTCATTTATACTTTTATGATTGCTACAAGTAAAATTATTAGAATATAAAGTATATTAGTGTTTATCTAAATGCTTTAGACACAATAACTATTAAAATAACTTATAAATATCAAATAAGAATACTAGATATTTGGATATTTTAAAATAATAACAAACAAGGTAAAACATTCATTTTTCACAAAACTATTAGTATGATAATTTGAAGATATTTCATAAGAAAAATCAAATAGATATAAAAGTAGCCGCAAAAGTAATTATTTTATAAACATAAAATAATAAATATGACCAAACTAAAAGTTTAAATATTAAAAGATAACGACTGACTTAAGTACAAAAGTTAATTTAATGGTAACAATAATTTAATTATTTGTTTATCAGTATTAATAAGATATAGTAAAATATATTTTCTTGTATAACAACTTAAGTTTTGATTTAAGATCAGAGAAATGAATACTATATATTTGTTTCATTTTAATACATTAAATTGGCAATATTTTACTTTTTGATTATTTTGTCCATCCTGAGTCAATAACCACCACTTATTTAAATATTAAACAAAGAATTGTAAATTTTCACAATTAATTTGGAGGTAGATTTCTTTTCATATATTTTTTATATTATATCTGAGTCGAGACAAAGATAATTTTGCCAAGAAAAATGCAATCAAAATAAATTATGAATTTATTCGGTCATAATAACATAATCAATAAATATTTTAAGCACTTGGAGATACTGATACACAATGAGCCCACAAATCATCTCTTTTCTTCAAATATTGGGTTTCGTTTGCAATCAAGTGCGGTATGTGTGAAATGTATTTGATAAGCGTATCGGGACACACTTTTCCTTTTTCCACAAGATCGTGGCAACACGCATCAGTGATAGTTCCATTTCCAAAGACAACACCGATTATATCCAATGCACACTTAGGAGTGATTTTAAGAAACAGGAACGCGCACACCAACGCTAAAACGAAGAAGTTGATTGTCATTTGTGACGTAATTTTAGCCATATCTGATTATAGTTTAGAAATCAGAGAATTATTAGTATGGTAGAAAAATCAATTGATAATACTTTGTATTTGTTATTTAAAAAAATGATATGAGTAAACTATTTATAAGTGATTCAAAACATAAACATAACTAAAAAACGCATATATATAAATATATATATAAATATCACAATTAAAACAAAATAACACCACGATAATAATTATAATTACTATTCTTTCATCTCTTGGCTAGCCATCATGAATCGACTAGCCACTGGTGTCAAAATGAGGACTTGTGGCAT